CAGATATTTAAGAAGACAATAAAGAAGTTCAGAAAATAACTTAATGTGTGTATTTAGCTATTTCATTGTATGATTGAGTGTTTAATTATCCTAACAATATCTCAAAAATGATAAACACACTAATTAAATATATAGAAAAGATATAATTCATTCATATCAATCATACTTGTATGTTTTGTATTTTTTTGAAAATTTTTGTATCATCTATCCTATATGAATTAGTTATAGCATCCTCTCATGTTGATATTTTAGCATTGTTTTCTTAACTCATACCACATTAGTCATTTACTTGATTTGCATGAAGATATTCACAAATACATGACCACTAATTATAGGAATTATAGTGGAACCAAATACTCGGTTCTCTTCCGCCTGGAACCGAATACTGCCACAATTGGCAGCAGTAATCGGTTCAGAACAGCAGCTAACAGCCCATGAACACCCCTGGTTACAGACCAAATAGCAGGTTTTCTAAGGAACACCCGCTCTCTGCACAAAGGAAGCGATAAAATGATATTGGAGTTAACCCACGCAATAATATGCAAACAAATATTATAACTAATGTAGGGTTTGTAAGCTTGAAGTTGTTCTACTGAAAGGCCACCAACCAAATGATGATCATAAAGATCAAGCAATGTATTGCGATAGACCAAAATAGGAGAATCTGAAGATATAGAAGAATTCCAACAAAAAGAAAGAGCAACAAAAAAGAAAAGCTAGTTGCCTCTTTTTAGCATGACTAATAGAACCCTCTCAACAAAACAGTAGATAGATGTCTTTCAACGTGCAGAAACAAACAATGTCTCTAAACAGCAGATAGATGTCTTTCAACGTGCAGAAACAAACAATGCATATAAATGCATTCCTGAATGCACGTTGAATAGTATATTTTCAAATCTAAGAAAAAACATAATGAATAACAAGCTGCCGCAATTCACTGCATACAATTGCTGCTATCAATTTTGACTGAGAAAGTCAAAGTAATATATTACATACAATCTCAGTTCGATGAAGACATTATGACCTGTGAAAGGGTAGATGTTTCGTTTTCGAAGGAGGATATCTTCTTCTGTTTCTCAAAAATCTGTTGGCAAATCTGAGCTTTTTCTTTCTCTAGGTCCTCAGACTCGGTACTTATACGTGTAGTTTCTGATGCAACTGAGAGAAGCAGTAGCATAGATTCCTGTCACTCGTCAAGATATGATAATTTCCACAGCAAGCTTAACCGATTGCCAGAAGCTACAAATGCATCGGTGACCACGGGAATCAAGCATAGTTTATTTAATCTAAACAGCTTTCCTTCCAGTACATTTAACTGTTAATTAGAAGGTACGGCGGTTTCTCATTATTGGTAATGAATTATTTAAAGCATAGATCAATGGTGGAATGCTATTATTTCATATAAAAATGGATAAAATAGTAACACTCAAGAAGTAAATGGGGGAAGAAATTGAAAAAGTGGAGAGTATATATAACTGCAGCACTGCTTAAAATTTTATATGCCAAGTAAAATGTTTTTAAATTTGCATTCAGATTCAGGCCACGGAGACCGATTTAGAAAATATGAGCTAATTGGCTATTTAACTATCCATATTCGCACGCTACTGCAAAGCTGCATTTAAGATTCACTTAATGAAGACCGCAGCAGAGATTCAATTTTGGTTCAAATAACAATATAGTAGAAATTAGGAGATTAACAAACTATATTCTAGTCCTCGGTTAAGCCCCATCAAAATTCTTAGCATATTTTCATCAGAAATTCTTAACATATTTTCAAATATCAGAAGAGCATTGTAGCTAAAACGGATGCCCATGACAAGCATAAAGCTTAGACTGCCATTTCCACAAGCACTCGGAAGAACTAAGGGAGACGAGGACAGAAAGAGCGATACCTGAGAAAAGATCCTTCTCCAATGCCTCAATTGCTGTCTTCTGCCTCTGCTCTTCCACTGACTTCTTAGCGGCCACCTCCTCAATATCTGTAACCAAAACCCCAGATCATGCAAGTAAATGATCGTTTATCAAAAGGAAACCGCAAGATTAAGAATCTAAGGTATAATGACTGGATGGATTTCTCTAACGAGAGGAGATGGAATGAAAGAGAATAGGAATCAATATCCTCGAGCGAAGAGATCGTAGAAAGTGACATCCGAAGTTTTTAAACATAGTAGTCAGAGAGTAGAAGAGAATCAAACACACCGTTCATCTGAGACCTCAAACTCCGAAGATTTTGAAAAAAATTTACATCAGTACTACGCACGTAGAGTAACGTGCGTATCCAATGAAATCACGCCACGATACCCCGCGCGACGCAGAAAAAAAAAACGGCGCAGTAACACGGGGAATATTCTCCCCCGTGTTATTCATGTGTTATTGTGTGTTATTCATGTGTTATTG